CCAACCACGGCCCTAACCGGTTTTGCTCAGTGGATAGAGAGTCAGCCTGCGGACTCAAGGGTCCCAGGTTCGATTCCGGTCAAGGGCATGTACCTTGGTTGCGGGCACATCGACAGTAGGGAGTGTGCAGGAGGCAGCTGATCGATGAGTCTCTCTCATTGTTTCTAACTCTCTATCCCTCTCCCATCTTCTCTGTAAAAAAAATCAATAAAATATATTTTTAAAAAAGGAAAAAAAAAGAGGAAATGTCATAACACATTGCAGACAGTAAGGACAGCTATTGTTTTTAAAAAAAGAATCATTCTTGGGCAGGTAATACTACAAATGTAAAATCTGTACATGCCAAGGATACACTGTACACTTAATTTTTTAAAAGTATTTTTAATGATTTCTAGAGGGAGAGGGAGAGAAAAACATCGATTGGCTGCCTCCTGTAGCTCCCTACTGGGGCTTGAGCCTGCAACCTTACCAGGAATCAACGGGCAACCTTTTGGAACGACCCTCAACCAACTGAGCCACACTAGCCAGGGCCCGTTGTACATTTATTAAATCATAGTACCTACCATGGCTCCCTTCTTTGACCCACATCTTAGGTCTTATTATATTTACATGTATATATAATATGCATTTTCAATCCAGAAGGATTAGGCCATATCAAGCTGAATGTTATGTGGATTATTTTGTGTCTGTAGTTTAACATGCTCATGTAACTCTCTAAAGCTGAACTGTCCAACACACTAGCCAACAGGCACCTATGGTTACTGAGCATGTGAAACGTGGCTAATCTAAATTGAGATTTTCTGGAATGCAAAAATATGTGAAATTTTGAAGATTCCATTTTTAAAAAATAGAAAATATCTCATTAATTGGATTACATTGATTCCATGTTAAAATTATACTATTTTGAATATCTTGATTTTGAGTAAAAATATATTGTTAAAATCAATTACACCTGCTTCTTTTACTTTTTAAACATAGCTTCTAAAAAATTTAAAATTAAATTTGTGGTTCACATTATATTTCTATTGGATGGCACTAACCTAGAGCTTGCCCTACACATATGTCCATTTTTAGGACCAGGTACATTCCAATTCAGACATACTGCTGAAAAAATACACATGGTGTGGAACCAAGCATTCACACACCATTTTCCAGAGAAATCTTTAGAGTGTGCATGCTTAACAAATGACACTGTGTTACATTACACTGTGCTAGAATAGGAGCTATCCTATTGGTGAGAGAGATTTTATCAAGGAAGGAGTAGCTACCGCCTTGTTTTCTTAAGACAGAAACGGATAGAATCAATTATAAAAGGAATTATTCAATATGTACTGTACATATATGTGATCCCTGGGGGCAGGAGAAACAATTACGCAGATTCTTAAGGCAAAAAGTCATACTTGCTTAGCTATTTTTTTTGGCAAGTAAGTAATTACACGTAGAAAGAGGAAGCTATAATATCTACTTTCTCAAAAAGCCTTGACCAAATTCCATGTTGAAAGATACTAATAAATGGATGGAGAAAGAATGTGTCAGAAAGTCATGTTAGTTGTCAAGGATCCATGTATTTGCTATCTCTTGCTGCATAACAATATCCTATAAACTTAGTGACTTAAAACAGCAGACATTTATTCTCTCAGTTTATGTGAGTAGGTGCTGTAGTACAGCTTGGCTGAGTCCTCTGCAAGACTGTAATTAAAATGTTTGCCAGAGCTGGATTTTTATCTGAGACTCAACTGGGAAGGGTCTGCTCACTGTCAGACTGAGATCTGCCGTTTCTTGTTAGCTGTTGGCTGGAGGCTGCCCTGGGCACGGTCCTCTCCTAGGGAAGCTCACAGCACAGCAGTTTGCTTCTGTAAAGCCAACAAGAGAAGGTCTCTCAGCAAGACAAATGTTACAGTCTTAGTAAGTAATCACATCCATGTAACCAAGTACATCCTCTCATCTTGCTGTGTTCTTCTGCTTGGAAACAAGTCACAGGTCCCACCCACACCCAGGAAGGGGGATTGCATGAGGACATAAATACCAGAAGGCAGAGATCATGGGACCGCCTTAGACTCTGCCCCACACAATAGGGAACTGGCTTAGGGATAAAAACTAGGAGGAGATGTCACAGTAAAAACCAATCTGTATTAGGACTATTTTAGTTTATATTTTTCAAATAATCTGGAAGAGACGAAAAAATAACAAAATTTGTCAGTTTTTCAATAGAAATAAATTTCTAGGGAGTAAGATGTCATGACACTGGGATCAAGTAAAGAATGGCCAATGGAAATCACCAGTAGTAACAGTACCAACATCATTGGCAAGCAGCATGTGGACTTACATCTGAGAATCAGATGTTTCATCGCCAAAGTGGTGCCCAATTGTGAACGTATCTTCTGTTTTAGTGATTAGGTAACAATTAAAACACATGATTTTTGCTTTTCGATATAGAATTGTCTTAAGAGTTAGGAGATAAAATATGTATGCTACAGAAGCACACCACCATGTTAAGGAGCAACCTTTGGACTTTTTCTACAATTTATTTCTGAATGGGACTGCTAAGGACACTATCTTAGTTGGACAGTATTCCTCATAATCAACTCTAGCATGTTAGAACTAGGCAAACCAAGCACCCTGCAGGTGACTAAACTTACATTTGCTGATGCAATAGTTACCAAAAAGTAAAACTTTTGGAAATAGGACCAAACAATTTTTTCAGAGTTTGTGGAACAGAAATTAATATCATGAATAACCAAATATTTCTCTTCTGCATACAACAGAACATCTCTGAGCTCTTGTCCAATTACCTGAGGATAGCAGGAAACTGGTTTTCTAAGCAAGAATACAATTTATTCTGCCAACATTATTATTATGTTTAATTTTCAAAGTGGTGCCCAATTGTGAACATATCTTCTGTATTAACATTTCATAAAATTGATTTGTTCAAGTGTGTTTCGCTTTTCCATGTTGGTTGACCTCTCAATTCAAATATTGTGAGGCTGCTAGAAACAGCACTGTGTCTTATCCAGCTTTGAACCATAGTGGATATTCAGTGAATGTTTGCTAAATAAAGAAATGAGTTTATTGTGTGGACTATGAAATGCAGTTAATATCAATAATGATTCTAAAGACGCGGTAATATGAAGGTAAATTCAATATAGACAAGTGTTAAGATAAATGCATTAGAAGAAAATAAGTCAGATCACACTAATGAAATATTGGGCTCTGAGCTACGAAAATACAAGCAAGAAATAATCTAGAATATAAATAACTTGTTTTAAAAAGTACTTATTCTCTTTAGAATAGTAGCTTAATGCAAATAACTGTAAAGGAAGACTATATTCACCGTAATTTTAGAAATGTAGTATTCATATGTCAAAGACAAGTGGGTATTGACCAGAAAAAGACAAAGAATTTCTTACATTTAAAAAATCAAATAGCAGTGAATAAATACAAAGATAAATATTTACAATTAGGTTTATAAAAAAATAAAATAAATTTATCTCGAATACATCTATCTCTTTGAAATTACTATTCTATCAAAGATAATAATTACTTTAAACAGTCATTCAAATTATTAACACTGAGGAAGGAGGAATAGTCCATAACCTATAAATTAAAACAAAATTGTTGCAAATCTCTGATGAATGTCTCACTTATTAGCATTTGTTTCCATAGTTTGTTTTCCTTAGCGTGGTTAAACTGTAACCTGAGCAGTACCTACTCAGTGATCCACAACAGGGCATTCCAATTTTTATTGTGCAATCATTTATAAACTTTGGATTCTATCCACTTTACATAGCAACACCACTGATGACTCTTAGGAAACCGATGCTATGTGGCTCTTTCCAGCAGTGCTAAAGTTTACAGCCCAACATGTTGGGGGTTTTTTTAAGTCTTTAAAGACAAAGATTGAGTTGCAAAAGGATTAATTCACCACCTGCTCATCAGCTTCAGAAACTGTTGTACATGTCTTTTTTAGAGGGAAATTTGAAGATTGGGGAGCAGATCTTGGGAGGAAAATTTGATTTTTACTGGATAACCTCCTACTGTTTTATATCCTTTATGTATTATACCACATGCATGTATTATCTTACTGTAACTACAAGCCAAAATTTTAAAAAATAAAGTTAGCTACATTAAAAACATCTATAGCCCTAGCCAGTTTGGCTCAGTGGATAGAGTGTCAAACTACGAACCAAAGGGTCCAGGGTTTGATTGCGGTCAAGGGCACCGACGTACCTTACCTCGGTTGCAGGCTCCTCCTCAGCCCAGGCCTTGGTCCGGGCGCAACCAATCAATATTTCTCTCTGTCTTTCCCTCTCTCTTCCACTTTCTCTTTTAAAAAATCAATGGAAAAAGTCCTCTTTGGGTGAGGACTTAAAATAAAATAAAATAAAATAAAATAAAATAAAAATCATAATTTTTTAAAAAACTATATAAGTAGTTTTTTGTATCTTCCTTAAAAATAGTCAGTGCTTTCCCCAAAGTTTCTTGAAACTTACTAATATTCTTACTATAAAATTCTCTTTTATATTATGTAAAAACAAAGCTGAATCTCTGTATAGTCAGGAGGAACAAGTTAATTCTCTGTATTCCCAGAGTCATAGTACCAAAAATAAACCGGACTCTTCAAAATTCAAATCTCTTTTTAATCAAATGTTTTTATCCCACCTCAACAACTTTTTGTTAAACTTGTTCAGAAGAAGTAAAATGTGCTGAGTTAAATTGTTTCTTATTTCTTAACCTCCAAGCTCCAACGAATGTGTCATGGGCAGTGAAAATGCATTTAAAACAAACCAAAAAACAAAAAAGGCCAAGAATCTGAACAAGTCATGAAAGGATTCAGTAACTGGGTAAGAAAGAACTGGCTGTGTAAGACATTGAGGTTAAGGTGCTAGGAAACAAAGCAGGCAGAATTCACCTGGGGCCCAGGGTCCATAGTCACTCGGGAAGTGAACCCCAGATAAATTGGCTAATGTCATCTGTGGCTCAGCTGCACTAGTAAATTAACGTATTAACGAATAGCGGGCAAAGAGATCTAAGTCACTTCCATTTTCATTCTTCGTGGGGAAGGCCCACGTAGGGCTCCAAAGTCCAGGTCCAAACTTGTTTTTGGAGAGGTCCAAATCAGAACCTGGGACTTCCATTTTCATCCAAATCTGATTTTAAACAATGCTTCTTTCCCCTTCGACTCTAAGCTGGTTCACAGAAATGGAAGCAGTTATGGAGAACTTCAAAACAACTTGCTGATAAAGCCAAGCCAGCCTTTGGCCTTTAAGACTTTTCAACATTCATGTAACAATGTTTTTGTGCAAAAAAATTTCAGGGGTAGGGAACTTTTCTGGGATGATCTATGCTAGAATACACAGTCTCTGTACATAGTCCAAATATTCAAATATCTCTTTAACTAGCCTTAATAGTTTATATTAGTGCTTGTCAACAAGGGTGGAATGGGGTTGGCCTATGTACTAGTTTGGTAAATCTACCAAAATGATTTGAATACATGTAGTCTGCACTTATTCACCTCCAGTGTATACACACACACACACACACACAGTGAGGTCTATGTCACTAGATAATTAGATTTTATCCTATTCCATTATAGTGCCTTCTCACAGTAGAACACCAACTGAATAGATTTTATCAAGCTTAATTTTCTTGAGTTGTATTAGGAAAACAATAGTCATATTCAATACACATTTTAAAATTATACATGCTCTCCTACCCTGAAAATGACTAAGTTTACCACTCAATTCTTCTGCCAACAGCACCCTTTCTTAAACACATTCCTCACACCTTTATGATGGCAAAATTCCAATATATAATAATGCAATGTGACATTACAAAAGATTGTACTCATAAATTTTGGGTGAGTTTCTACATAAGTATAATGTCTCCATAATACTAGTATATTGTGACATATGCTGTCACTTATTAAATTCACTTTTATGGCTTTGGCTTCTAAAAAAAATTTCATTTGCTTTTCACAAAAATCACATTTAATGTAGCAAGACACCACAGTTTTTGGATTGAAATTACAGGACCTGAGATTTAAATTATAATTCTCTACTGAAGCAGCCACAACATATGAAAGAAAATGTTCATGTTTTATTTAAAATAATCATCTTTACTAAAACCACTCAATGACATTTATTATTTTAAAATATTTTAAAGCCATTTTTAAGAGTAAGGAAATTTAGGACCTTTATTAAACCTGGAGGGCGGCCTGTGGTGTGGTCCTCTGCACTGGTGCCCTGGAGGCAGGCTCTCTAGACTGTGAACCGAAACTCTGCTACTTTATTTTCTAATTCTTTCTTGAGTTCAGTCACTTCCTTTTTGAATTCTAATTTATTTTGCTCTTTCATTTCTTTTTTTTAGGGTTTTACTTTTATTTATTTTTTCTTTATTGATTAAGGTATTACATATGTGTCTTTATTTCCTGTGTCAGCATTTTGAAAAACCCTAACTTAACTCTGGTGCCGTGTCACATATAGAAATTTTTTGATATTTGCAACCATAGTAAAACAAAGACTTATATTTTTGATAGTTATTTTATATATTTAAATGCCATTTAACAAAGAAAAATCAACCAAAAAATGAGTTCACGTGTCAGAGGTTCGCCATCACTGCCCTAGTGTCTGTGTCCATTGATTATTCGTATATGCATGCATACAAGTCCTTTGGTTGATCTCTCCCGCTCTTTCATTTCTTATAAAATTTTAAGGTATTTTATCTCATTTTGAAGTAATATAGTGCTTCAGATCTGCTTTTGGAGTACATCTTTCTGGTATGCTTTTATTGCTATTTTACCCCTTATAAAAACTGTTTATGGTACCAGACCTTGGTATTTTTCTGTTGCTCGTTTTTACGTGAATTTAGTTTTCCCGAACTTTAAAAAGGAAGCTAGAAACAGAAAGTGTTTATAACTTCGTTAGTTAAAAACATAGCAGCTTATGGTGACAGGAGAAAATTTGACTTTGGGTGGTGAAGCAATATACGGATCTTGTAACATAGAAACCTACACCTGAAACCTGTATATTCATATTGACCAATGATACCCCAATAAATTTAATAAAAACATAACAAATATGGCAGCTTGCTTTCAGAGCTTTTCTGACTGTTGACCCTCTACTACATTAGTCCAGACCCTCTCTTTCCTTCTTCACTGCCCCTGTCCTGCTAAATTTTGATTGTGCTCCCAACCATTTCTCCTCAGTATGGGGGCCCAGCCTCAAAGTAAAACTGCTGGGTTAGATTTGAGATTTTGTGGGATTAAACCACTCTGGCCCCTGTAGGCCTTCCTTTGAGATCCTCAGTTTCCTAGCCACCTAAGCTGTGTGACCTTAGACAACTTGCTTCACCTCTCTGTGCCTTGTTTCCTCATTCATGACATAGAAAATGTTATATGATAATGAGTTTTCATTCAAAGTGGTTAAAACATTGTTTGACACCCAGTGATGACTTTTTGAATGTCTATTCAATAAGTAAAATATCCATCTGCACCTTCTTTATGAACTCACCTTCAAACTGTAGAAGCTCTCAGGTCAACTGATCACAACTGTCCAAAATCTTTAGTGCCTCAGGAAGTCTATTCAAGTGCTAACCATAGTTAAAGATTTAATTTATCCAGTCAACATACCTCACACTATTTTGGTTATTAATAAAAGACCCAAGAGAAAGGAAAGCTGTTCTCTTTCATCCTACAAAGAACACAAATGCCCTTGTCCCTGGTGTTGAGTCAATTCTCATTACATCTGTTTCATTTTTTCCCCTCCCTAGGCTCTCTCAGAACTTGATTTGTATATAATCAAATAGGACTTCTCAACACCTGGTACCATTAGTAAACGTGGCAAACAATCTTTTCACAAAGGCACTGGAAAATTTTTTCTTAAAATTCCAGGGCATTTTCAAAGGTTTTTGAAGTTTTCCTTTTTTATAGCTTATGATTTAACTGCTGCAAATGTCTATTACCTACAGGAAGAGTGTGTCACTTCCTTAACTTGTTGAATCTTTTTTTTCCTTTTTAAGAAACTTTCCTTTAAAACCTATGAATACAAAAAAAAAACAAAACCAACCCAAAAACGCTAACCAACAAGATATTTGGAATTTGGGTTGCCAAAAGGTATCTTTCTACATCGACCTAGGATTTATCTAGAAAAAAAAAAATACCAGAAAAATGTGTGTCAGAAAAACTCATTACAACTAAATGTACTAATAATGTGTGGTACTTGTTTGAATCCTAAACCAGAAATAAAATTTTCTTCTTTTTCTATAAAGGAAATTATTGGGAAAATTGATGAAATTTAAATAATGTCTGTAAGATAATTTTTGTATTAATTTTCCTGATAAGGGATGAACTTAAGGTATTTGGGTAAAGAGGCATCATGCCTGCAACTTACTTTCAAAGTTCAGAGAAAGAGAAGATGTGAAAGCAAATGTGGCAAATGTTAACATTTGGGGACTCTGGGAGAGGGGTATATGGGAATTATTTCTACTATTTTCTTACAACTTTAGTGAAAATCTAAAATTGTTTCAAAATAAAAATGGTTTTTAAAAGTTGGGTGTTAAGAGCAGAAAGACAATAAGATTAATGTCCCTGAAGGTCTTTTTGAGCACTCACAGCATTGCGTGGAAAGCAAAAACCTGATTTTAAAAGAAAAGTTGGGGGCTTAGAGTGCCTCAAATATTTGGTTAGGAAGGCACTCCCTAGAAAGTACTCAGATAGGTGCACTGATTTTTATTCACTATACTGCCATTCCATATTAGCAGAATCTGTGATATACTAGTGAGCTAATAACTCAGGCGAGGGCCATTTAAAAATAGCAGGCACTCTCAGACTGGCAAAGATGAAGTTGAGTTATTATGCTCAGTTGGCATGCGGAGCAACCATGGGATTTGAAATCTGTTGGTGGGATTTCGGTTGGTATAATCTACTATAATCTTTTTGAGGAGCGAATCAGATAGTATCACATTTTAAATGTTTGTACCCTTTGACTTAGCAATTCTACTTCTAGAAATTTATCCTAAAGAAATAGTGAGCTGAATGAACAAAGATCTATATTCAAGGACATTAACTCTGTCACAGCAAAGAATGGGAGACATTATGTGTCCATCAGAAGATTAAATAAGTTACAGTTTATCTATACAAGAGGATATTCTTCAGCCATCACAAAGTATGAGACAAATGACAGAGAGCAATATTCCTATATATTAAATGAAAATCAGGTTGCAGAATAGTATGCATTGTATGGTCCTATGTATATTTATATTACTTATTTATATTTAAAATAGAAATATGATGTAGGCATTTTTTAAAAGATTGAAATAACATGTAAAAAATTGTTGGTAGGTAGTTAGAAAAATATGCATTGCATTATTCATGGCAGACTATTATTCATGCAAGGCCCAGTGCAATCTGAAAATGTAGAGCCCCTCATTAAAAAATTAAGAATTTCAAAATAATGACAGCAGAGTATTAAGCCTTTTAAGTGTAGGGCCCTGTGCAACTATACAGGTGCATTGTCCATAAAGCTGGCCCTGGCTATATACTACACTATACACTTAGGTGTATGCTACACTACCCTATGTAGGGTGGGGCAAAAGTAGGTTTATAATTGTGAGTATATAGTTATATTCTTGTATTATTAATTATTGTATTATTTTCATATGAAAACTGTAAACCTGCTTTTGCCATACCTTGTACATTACAGTGCAAGGTAAATGTTAGGATATAAACCATACTCAATGGTAGTATATGGGTGAGTGTTTGGAAATATACATGTTGTCTATCTCCCCCTCCCCCATACATACACACACCTCTTCGTTATTTGGGGAATTATAATAAGTGAAATACTTTGTGATAAATGCAATCCAAAGCATGTTTAAGTTATTCCTAAAGGAAGCTAGCATATTAATAATGCTGAGATTGGAGAGTTTCCGGTGTCCCCTTTGGATCACTTTGCATGCCACGAGAGTGCCTCCAAGAGGACTGACAGAGATTCAATGAGGAGACAGAGATGTGCAGCTCTCAAAAGAGATTTCTGTGGCAAATTTTAATTACTTTTAAAGAGGTTTTACAATAGTGTCTATCAAGACAGATAAATGATGGATAATTTTCCCTCCTTTTATGTGGCAAATAGAAGTATAAGGAAAAAAATAAAAATAAAAATTATAAACAGAAATTTCCTATCTCTAAAAATTAAATAGCTCTTCCAGGCCACCGAGGTATCAACAAATATTTTTCTACTGCTCTAAATGGCTTATGATATCCTTCACTATCCAAATAATAGTATTACTAGTCATAAGTTGACTTGATCTGGCTCCAAGTTGAATGTTTTCTCTGTTGCTTCTATTTATAAGTAGAATTAAAAACCTGGGAAGTCTAATTTGGGATCAGCATGGTAGCTTATGTTCTGTCATGCAGAAGATCAGGGTTTGATTAGGCAGATCTTAGGGCTGTAGCCAAAAGACAAGAGAATATGACATTCTAATATCTAATAGGCTCTAAATAAGATGGTCTAACACTTGTTAGGCACTGATTCTTATTAGTAATGAGGACAACAACTTTTAACAGGGCCTAATGAGTGATGGGATATGCACACAGGTGACAGGACAAGGGTTTCCAAGATCCAACGGAGTGGGGCAGGGGTGAGAAGAACGTTAAAAGATTTGTTGTGAAAGATTTTTTGAAGTCCATCATAAGATCATCAGTGGTGACTAAGTCTAAATGACACACCAGGAATTACAGACCTTTGACTTCATAGGCATCTGGAGAATTTGTTGAAACTATTTGAGAAGTTCTCCAAGAGACTTCGGGGTTTTGTATAACATAGTAACAGAAATATAAATAGAAACTGATAAATCCTATGAGGTATACTGTGTATTTCAAGACATTCTGTGCCTTAAATGTGTTCAATTTTGCACTGTTTTTCATTCATTTTCCAGAATTATGTGAGTACACATGGTACCATATGTTACATATACTCTATGCTCATTAATGGGGAAAAACAATTAATAAATATATCAGAGTCCTCCTTGTATGTGATTATCCAAGGCAGACATCTGTCTTAGGCCATTAGTTCCGTCTTCATTAAAATTATTAAAATCACTCATATTCGTGAGATTTAACTTTCAGCAATCGGACTAGCACTACTATTCTCAAATTTCAAAAAGGACCCAAAATCCAGGTATAAGATATTACTGAAGGTAGGAATCTATTATTTCCACAAATCCAAAAAAAAGAGAGCTCTTTTAATGTATTTGCCTTTTGTTATCTCCATAGATACTTAATTGCTTCTACCTTAAATATTACAATGACTTTCTCTTTAAAAAGATATTATATGCATGCACACATGTGTTTGACATAAAGAACTTTCTAAATGATATCCTCTGAAGAGTGAATGGGCTATGATTCAAGAAATACTGGCTTCCCCTGTAATGAATGTGTTGTACTTAATGAGAACATAGAAGTGAGAATTTAAACACAAAAGAGATAGTTAACTCGATAACATTTGTGCTCTTCTCCAACTCTGAGACATCAGGAAATTGAAACAATTCTTAGAAGTCTTGAACAGGGCAGAGGATGATGACAGGGAGAATGGAGAGGCGGCAAATGAGACACTATGAAGATATCCTATTACCTCAATACAATTTGCCATTGACTGAACATGGAACTTAGAAGAAAAGGATGAAGAATCCAAAAAATAGCAAACCCAAAGTTTTCAGCTCAAGAAACCGAGTAGCACAACTAGTAGAAATGAGAAAGAATGAAGAATTAACAGGTTTTCTCCCATTATTTTCATTGTGAAGTAATTCCCCTGAACAGGGTGACTAAAAACAGAGACATTAACTCTGCATTTCTGTTTTGTTTGTTGGTATCAGAGATGGTTCCAGGAGATCAGTCCAGATGTGACAAGTGACCCCACTCCTGGACCTGTGAAGGCATGGCCCTGAGGAGGAGGCAGGTAGGGGGAAACCAGAATGCCTGGCAAATGGGCTGGAATGAGGGGCTGATCTGGAACCATTAACGGAGACAGGTTCTGTCTCTTTGGGAATTGACTCAAGAACTGGGACAGGCCTGAACCCTCAGGAGCTAGAGAAGGCAGTGGCAGAGGATATGAGATTGAAGCTAACAATGAAGAACTCAGAATAGACTTCACAGACTCAATGGAGCCCGTCTTTTAGAAGAATATCATTGAGAAAAATGCTATTTGAAAAAACTAGAGGCAGAAAGAACCCAGGAAAATGTTGCAAAAATCTATTCAGACAGTAAAATGGAATTGGATATTACTGGCCTGTAAATTCTGTCCTTGAAACATTAATTGTTTGGTGCATTTTTTGAGTAAGCACTATATAACCATTAGTTTACATTTGCACTACTCTGAAATTTTGCATGAAATATCATCACCTATTACTGTGATGCCTAAATATGCCTAATTTAACTCTGTCCTTACCTGAGGCTGAAACCACCTTACATGAGATGTTACACCAGATCTAGTGGTTCTCAAAGTATATTCCAGTAACCAGTACCATCAGTGAGCACTTGTTAGAAATTCAAATCTTCAGGTGATCTCCCAGAGTTACTAATCAGAAACTGGAGATGGAGTCCACCAATTTGGGTTGTAAGTCTTGCAGGTGGTTCTAAAGCACACGTTAAAGTTGAGAACTACTGCCTTAGGCATTTCACAACTGCATTTCTTTACAGCCTGTTAAGGAAAAAAACATTCTTGTTTTCTTTGTACTCACAGCACTACCCTCACTTCTGATCACCAAATTTGTAGTTTCTTCCGCCACACCAAACAATTCTGCGACACATTAGGTGTCTTATAATTTAACTCAGTTTTTATACTACTGGGAGATAGTGATGGATCCCACAGGTTAAAGCCTCTCCACCTCACTTCACACACCAATCACAAGTTCGGGTTGTCACCTGTGCTTCTGACTGACCAGGTATACATTGGAGGTTCATATAACCCCTCCTGGGGTTTGATTAATTTGCTAGAGCACCTCCCAGAACTTCCAAAAGGCTTACTGATTGGATTACCAGTTTATTATAAAAGGATCTAACTCAGGAACAGCCAGATGGAAGAGATGCATAGGGCAGGGTATGGGGTAAGGTGCAAAAAACTGCCTTTCCATGTCCTCCTGGGGCTCACCACCCTCTCAGCACCTCCACACATTCAACAAGAGGAAGCTCCCTGAACCTGTTCTTTTTGGGTTTTTAAAGGAGTATTTATTATGGACACATGATTGATTAAAGCACTGGCCATTCAACCTCCAGTCCCTCTCCCTTCCCAGAGGTCAGAGGGGGGTAAGACTGCGAGTTCCAACCTTCTAATCACATAGTTACTTCCCCTGACAACCAGCCCCCTAATCTTAGGGACTTTCCAAAAGTCATCAAATTAACATACATTCAGATGTCATTGAAAGGGGTTTGCTATGAATAACAAAGGACACCCAAATATTCTTCTGAAGCTATTTCAGAAGCTGAAAAGGAAAGACTCTCCT